AATATTCAACTTTTACACAGTTACAACAATCACACATCTAATAGTGCATATTTTAATAACGGGAGAGAAAGTTTCATTAAAATCAATGCCTTCCACCTGAGTATCACCTTTAACCACCAATCTAGCTTTATATCTCTTCACACTGCCATCAGCTTTGTATTTAATTTTATACACCCACTTGCATCATATAGGCTTTTTCCCAGCAGGTAGTTCAATAATTTTCCAAGTTTGGTTTGCATCTAGGGCCTCAAATTCTTTCCTTATGGCCTCTTGCCAAGCAAGAATAGCAGCAGCTTGAGTGTAAGAATGGGATTCTAGTGCAGTAGACATGAGTGAAGAAGAAGAACAAGAAGTAGATGAAGGGAGCTGGACCACATAATCCTTCAGGTGAGAAGGGAGCTGATGGGTTCTGGAACTTTTTCTGAGTTCAGGAATAGGAAGAAATACTTATTCAATAGGAACAGTAGAATGAATGGGAGTAGGAACATCAGTGGTGTGGACAGAGTTGGGAGCATCAGGAGTGTCGGGTATTTAAGAAGTAGGGAGAGGGAGATCTGGAGGCATAGAAGAAGCAGTAACAGGATCAATATGAGAATTAAAAAAAATAGGCATTAAAGGAGGAAGATGAGAAGGAGCAGAAGATGGCAAAGTATAAGGAAAAACACATACATGAAAGATGACATCCCTAGAGTAGATAACAGACTTAGTAGTGAGATTGTACAGTTTGTACCCCTTTTTAGCAAAGGGATACCCATGAACACACAAGGAGATGTTTTAGGTTGGAACTTATCTCTATGACACTTGGGAACACTAGCATAGCAGAGGCACCCAAAAGGTTAGGCGGGAATAAGAGGGAGCAACCCCATAAAGTAATTCAAATGGAGTCTTATTAGACAAAACTTTAGAGGGAAATCTATTAATAAGATAGGTTGTTGTTAAAACACAATCTCCCCAGAACTACCATTACAGTTACACTAGTCAACACGCGCACAGTAGAACTACCATTTAAACACACAGGAAGAGAAGAAGTACTACCAGCAAAATTTGCATATCCCATTAGAACAGGTTGTCCCGAATCACCCAATGTAGACTGACCGAGCAACTGCATCAACTGGGAGTACTGCTCTTTGGTGAGACCAGGGATTAAAGAGCTTTGATCAGTAGGAAAATACATTGCAAAAGGTTCAGAAGTCTGCCCCTCAGCACTTGCAGCAGTACCAAACTTCTTACCCTTTGTTAATTTGAAATTTGGTGGAAAATCATGTAATTTGTAGCATTTCTCAATTGTATGACCAGGTTTCTTGCAATACTTGCAAGACAAAGTAGCATTGGATTTTTGGTTGCTTGAATCAAAGTTCACCTTTTGTGTATATTGTTTTGTAGGTGAGAGTTGAGAAGGGAATCTGTTAATGTTCGAATTTGCATTAAAAGAGGCTGATTTGGGTTAAATTGGATATTTGGGACAAACTGTCTTTGTTTTTCATCCTGCAAGAAAATGTTGTAGACAGTATCAAGGGGTGGCAATGGTTGCATCATCAAGATGTTGCTTCTAACCCCCACATAAACCTCATTAAGACCCCTAAGGGATTGGTGAACCCTGTCCTCTTCTTTCTCCTTCTGGAGTCCCTCCTTAGCAGCACAAAAACAAGAATTTGCACGGCTGGTACACATAACCCCCAATTCGTCCCAGAGTTTTTTAAGTTTGTTGAAATATGAAGCTATGTCGAGAGTCCCTTGATATGTAGATGCAAGTTCTATCTTTATTTCAAACACCCTAGTTCCATTAATAGTTCCATACCTATTATTCAATTATTTCCATATGCTTTCAGCAGTTTCAGAATATTGTACACTTTTAGCTCTATCTGGAGAAAGTGAATTGATTAACCAGGATATGACCATATTATTGCACCTATCCCACTGCCTGTACTGGGGAGAATCCACAGCAGGCTTGGTGCAAGAGCCATCGATAAAACCTATTTTATTTCTAGCAGACAGAGACACGACTATACTCCTCCTCCAACCCCCAAAACTAGTCCCAGAAAAAGGCACAGCAACTAAAGACACCCCCGATACATCGGAAAGAAGGAGAAATAAATAGTGGACTTGAAGGTTCAAGAGTATAAGCAGGGGAGGAAGAACTTGAGTCTGGAGTAGAATTAACCATGATAACAGAGTACAACAATCAATTCATGCAAGAGAACAAATAGAAATGAGTGTACCACACTTCTTCGCAACCTGAAGAAGAAAGGCCTTGAGAAACTTCAGCTTGTAAAGAAAACTTTAGCTTCAGCGAAGACCAACAGAACTCCGATAATCACCGAAAACCCTAGCTTTGACGAAGAACAACAAGACTCCGATAATGAGCAGCAAACTCCGACCAAAATAGAATCATACAGTCGAGGAAAACTTCCTTAATTCGAAAATTGAACAAAAAATTGACGAAAAACTTCGTAATTTTGTATCTCAGCGAAAATTGAAACAATGAAGATAGACCCGATGAAATTTCACAAGGGTAACATCGGTCGATGTAGAACGCCGGGGACTACCAGATTACCCGCTCTGATACCAAGTTAGAATCAAAATTCAACATAAGAGTGCAGATTTTCGATTAGGGTACATAAGGAAGAAGAAAGAGGAAAAATCGTCCAAGAGAAAAAGATCTCCTGATCTATTCACAAAAATGGAAAAAATAAAAGAATAGTCTAGAATGTTAATTAGCCCCTAAAAGATCTCCTGATCTATTCACAAAAATGGAAAAAATGAAAGAATAGTCTAGAATGTTAATTAGCCCTTATTTATATTTTGGGCCTTTACAGTGTAAGAACAAAAAAAGAAAGAAAAATGAATGTTGTTACAAATAATAATGGACTAGGCCCAATAGTTTGGCCCAGTCTTCGTGGCCCAATCATCAGGTAGTCCCAACATAAAATTTATATTTTGGATCCATGCACCCTCGTCTAGACCTCTAGACTAAGCTTGCATCTCACTTTGTGCCAACTAAAACATCTCGCTTCATGCTCATGCCTTTTGAAACACCGCAACAACAACCTGGGACTCATAGTTACCCGAATTCTGGATTAAATGCATTAAATTTTCCGCAGACCTCCTATAATTTTAATTACACGCTTACACTTTGCATGGTTAATAGGAGTATGAACATGAATAATAGTTACCATATGAGCATAAAAAAGAATTCTATGCACGTACATGCACAAGAAAAGATAGAATTAAGTTGCCAGAAAATCAAGACAGAAAACGTCCCGATAAAAAAAAATAGGGAAGTGGCGAGAAAGAGTTTGAAACACAGGTAAACGAATGAATGTTTCATAGACTGTCCAAGATTTAAGGTCTAGAATAATCGTATACTTATAGGTTACATAAGAAGCATGGGCGAAGCTACACTCCGGTACGGGTGGTCAATTGACCACTCTTTATCGGAAAATTACACTGCGTATATATGTAAAACATTAGATTTTAAAAGTATATATGCATTGAACACCTTTTTTTGGGAATTTTTTACTTTTTTCAAATTTGAACACCCTTAAAAAAAATCCTGACTTCGCCACTGATAAGAAGTGGTACAAATTAAAATAGAACATTAACAGATATTTAATGATGTCCATTCCAGACATTTCCGAAAATAATTAGTTGTTGTGACAACAAGATCCATGGAGACCATTAGACATGAATGTGTTACAGACTTACAGTTGGATAGGTTTTCCATTTAACACGTGTCACGGAGCTCTTTTGTCTTCTTACAAAAAAATAAAATTAACGGATATTCAAGAACTAACTTTAGGAATTTGCCTACTTTGTTTCTCTATTTTATACATTTACATTTCGAAAGAATGTGCTATCAAAATTCTTCGCATTTGGATCTGATTCATCGAGTAAATCTCTTCTGTTTTCGAGAATTTTAACCTCATTACTAAGCGAAATAGAATCTACTATTTATTTATTTTTTGGGTTCTTTTTCTTTTCATTCATACGGACTAACATAGTAAAAGACAGTTAACAATGTAAATATTTGACTCAAAAGCATTTTGTGGTAGTTAAAATGGAGGAATATCTGTCTCTTCATGGAATTTTATCAGAGACCTCAGAGAGAAAATGAGAGCACAATCAAGTTTTTTTCCCTCCTACCAATATCAACAAAACTATATATACATATATAAAAACATAAAGAATGGGCTTTGGCCCAAATACATAAATCAGACAAGAAAAATGCAGCGAAGTGCACAAATAGGCATTTTTAGGACCACTATTAAAGGGATAGCCAAAATTTATAAAAAATTTAAAATCTAATTGTTTAGAATCAACTTCACACATGCAAACCTTATTAAAATCAAACCTACTGTACTATGAAGTTCGGCTATACCTGGCTTGAAGTTCAAATTCACGCCTGAAGTCTGAAGTTGGCCTGAAGGTTTAAATTTGAACTTCGGCCTTTAAAACTTCAAACCTTCGAGTATGAAGTTAAGCTTTGGTAGAGCTCAACTTCAGATCCAAAGAAGGCATGTTTGGCCCCGATCTAGTAATGACAGGGATATATTCAACCTATTTATTAATGGAGGAAAATATGAAATATTTTACATAATGTAGGGGCAAATGTGAAACTTTTCCCTTTTAAAAGAGTTGAAGGACCACCAGTGTTATTTTCAAAATTATGCGTCTAGAAACTGTCAAGTGTAGTTTCATATTGCTAAAACTATGTATTTTGATTGAAATCATGGTCTAAGCCAACATTGTTAACTCTAAACCATGTTTGCATGTTAGCTAAATAACCCTAAAAAGATTTAAGTATTTATCAAATATGTTAATGAAAAGAACAAGGTATATAAAAGAGAGAAATACACTTTCTAATACTAAAATGTTAATTAAAATTTCTTGCATAACTTCTACGAATTTATCACGCTTTAAAAATATGATTTGAACTGAAACTCTAATAACTTATGCATATGTTAGCCAAACAACCTAAAATAAGTTTAGTGGACTTGCTTCTAGCAAAAGTTTGCATTTTACACTGTATCGATTAAGTTAACCCGAGGTTAGTAAGAGCAAATTCTCGGAACCTAGTGGACTCTCTTGTGTTTTCAAGAAACTCAGTGGTGTCAGCATAGAAATTTTCACAATATTTATAAGAAATGGCGCGACAGTTCCTCTTTTGAGCTCCAAACTGTAATCGCCGGCGATGGACTTCAAATGCTCCGATTTGGGCCAGTGGAAGGAGGCCCTATCTTCTTACGGAGTCCGTATCGAGTCACTGAACAAGCCCAACCTCGTCTCGCTCGATGATTTCTACCGGAATGAACTTCCCGGCGTTCTCCGGCAACGAAACCCTAGTTACATTACAACCTCCGAACTCACCAAGCTCATGCAATGGAAGCTTACTAGAGGCAAATGGAGGTTTGTACTTCTCTCTTCATCCTGCCTATGACAAAATATATGTACTCCTTCACTATCAATTTCTGTTACACACTTTCCTTTTTATTTTGCATCCGAAAGAATCACACATTTGTATATTTAGAAATAATTTAATTTTATACGCAAATGTCTATAGCTTGTTTTTCGACCACATGTTTTTAAAAATGTTTTTGATTTCTTATGCGACATAAAAGGGGAAGGAGGAAGATTTACTTTTGATAATTGCTATGGTAATGGACTCGACTATAGGAATGAATAAACTTGATATGAGTGTGTGTAAGTAATTGGTATTTAAGTGTATTTTGAAGAATATAATTACATCTATGTTACATTAGACAAGGTACTTAAGGCTATGAAAAAATCCATGTAACACATAAAGGAGAATCCAAGATTTGAACATTATGGGTTCGAGTTCCCAATTTTACCGCAGTTCATCTAATTTACTGGGTTCGAGATCTACTATGTACTTATTTGGTGAATTTTCTAGCACATACACAGTCCGAGCCAAAGCTATGGGCTCGGATGAACCCATTAGTTATACATCAGATCCGCCCTTAGTAATGTATGATAATTGTTATGCAGGCCTAGGCTGTTGGATTTTGTATCATCACTGGACGACGCTGTTGTGAGATCTGCTTCAGAGAAGGCATTTCAGTCTCTTCCTGATATCTCAAAAGCTATTTCAGAACTCACTGTCTTGAAAGGCGTTGGTCCAGCTACGGCCTCCGCAGTTCTGGCTGCTTTCGCACCGGATATTGCACCTTTTATGTCGGATGAAGTAATTTTATCATTACCTTCTTGCTGTGGAAAACTCTATTTGGTTCTCTGCGATTTGATGATTGAAGTGTAGTTAGATGATTGATTTATGTGAAAATGCTGTTGTTCTTAGGCAATGGTGGCTGCAAATGGTAACTCGAAAGACTATACTCTGAAACAGTATCTAGTTTTAGTGGACAAATTGCAGGCAAAATCCAAGGTTAGCTAGACTTCTTCTCTATGTTTTTAGTTAAAATGATGCTTTCATCTGTGTGTGGTTACTCTGTTTTTTGAGAATGATATCATCAAATTGCTCAAACTGTGAAGTACTTCATTTAATTTATTTTTTTTGGAATACATGACAAAGGGCTTAGATATCGTTGTAACGTACCACATAGATTACAACTAGTAGAATTCAATACAAATAATCACATATCTAGTTGTCATCTAAATGACAGATTGATTGCGACCAGAGAACAATATTGTTGTAATGGTGCCATTATGAAGTAGGAAATCTATTGAAATCTTCTGATTTATTCCACCTGAAAGCTTGGTTGAAGAAAGATCCTTTGTCTTTCTAGTTCCAAATAATTCGTTAGATTAGCTAGGACAAAAATGCTGGACACCAGCCTATCATTGTCCTGGTTTACACTTGTACGTCATAAGATATGTGGTTTTCTGCCTTTACATAGCATGTGGATATCATCATTCAGTTTGTGATGATTCCTAAAGTTACATTCAAGGCCACATCTATCAGGAAAGAACGAACAATCATGTTCTGTGTCAGACTTTGTTTTCTGCAAGTTACATTCAAGGCCACACTGTGAGGAAAGAACAAATGATCATGTCCTGTATCAGACGTTTTCTGCATGTCATGTTCAGATGAAGCAAGAATTCTGCTGCTGTTCTTTTACTAGGATATCAGAGAATGCTAATTGTGCGCGTATCTCCTTGAAGTTTTCTTCATGCCTCTTGTAGTCGTGCCTCAAATGTCCTTCTCTTTGGATGAAGATAATAAATTTTTGTGAAGAAAGGCACTACTGATGCTGGTGGGAGAAAGCGATTGTTGTGAATATACAGTTGACCTCAATGTAGACAAAGAATGGTGTTTAGGCCATTTGTATGACAAGATTTGCGGCCAAGGACCTGATGAGATGGTGAATCAAGAACGCGATATTTATGTGATGGCCCCAAAATACATTTATGGTTTTCAGGAGTTAACTTGATTTCATATGCTGATTGATTCCTGGAAGTTTAAATGTCTAATGATCTTTTGGAGTAAAAATGTGTAAGACTAAAACCTGACCTCACGGATACCCTACCTCATTCTAGATACTTAAGCCGTTAATCTTATGAAGGATTGAGAGTTTGTGTTTTCTGAGAGGAAGTGTCTAAGACTGAATGCGGGCTCTTTTACTCAATGCTAAGTGATTTTTCCCTGAACCAAAACAGAAGCTTTATCGTATTTGTAATTTGTTTTAGCTTTCTTTTTTCTAAACCCTCGGTACATTGTATATTGTTTCCTTTGAAGCGTACGATCTATCTCACTATGTGTTCCTTTGGCAATTGCTTAATAGGAGTTATCTGCAAAAGGAGACTGTTTTACTCCTTCAGACGTTGAAAGGGCGCTGTGGAGTTCTGCTGTGGGTGCCAAATTGGACGGCTTGTCACAAGAGCCTAAGGAGGTAAGCTTGAAGAGGCAGTCCAAGAGGAAGCGAGTACGGTGACCTGGATGGTGCTGGTTGAGTTCAGTAGGTGTTGATCAATCAGTAAGTTTAAAGTTGTTCTTGTTTGTAAGGTTCCTAAACTGCATGTATATATTGCTAATGTAAACCCTCAAAAGCACTTGTTTTTGTGTTTATGCACACAATCAAAGTCTATAGCACTGCTATCTATCCTAACATCTTTGAAGCATTTTGTATAATTTGTGTTTAACGATAAAGAGGACGATGAAAATTTATTCATCCCTGAAATCCTAAATCTTTCATGAAGGTGCAAAAAATATAGAACAGTAGAAGCAGATTACTACATCATAGGAAAACAAGAAATCAAACTTGATTGTTGACGTGTTGAAAACCAAGTGGCGTTTGCTTCAAAATTTTGAAGAGAGATTTGTCTATCCAACCAAGAAAGAAAAGTTTTCGCGTCTGTCAAAAGTGAATTGATTTTTTTTCCTTTCTTGGTGTTTGGTTGAAAAATAGTTTTTGTATTTTCCAAAATGATTCTTCAAAATTTCAAGGTGGCACACTGAAAATGTCTATCCCCCAAGGGTATTGGGCAACAAGCGCTTGTGTAGAATGTAAATATCTCTTATGCCATAGGCATTATTTTTCTTAAACAGTGGATTTAATCATCAATGAGGTGGTGCTGGTTTGTCTGTAAAGAGCTAGTATATTGAACTCAATCACCACCTCATGTGATGCTGATTGCCTGTGTGAGATGGTATATTGAACTGGTTACAAGGATGTGTTCGGTGCATGTCAGTGACTCAGTTAATCTATAAGCTACTACTGCAGAAACTTAATACATTGGTGGTGCATATAAATTAAAAATTTCCTGGTGATTTATTGAATTTAATAAAGTATTCCAATGTCAAAATTCTAATTCTATCCGGAAGTGATTATTTTATGCTTCGCTTGAACTAAAAGGGAGGTAATGGATGTCTTTATTGCTCGGTTTGGTTGGCATATTGTAATAACGGTAAGAGAGAAGAAAAAAAAAAAAAAAAAAAAAGGACCAAAGCGATTCAGATAGTGTATCATGTGATAGCTGGTAAGCGTGGAGGACTCATTGTCTTCCTAAAGAACATCTGCCCAAGCTTCTTTTGTTATTGAATGAATATAGAAAGGAAAGTATTATTTCATTTTTGAAACTCTTAGAGTCGTTGAACAACGGCACTAGTTTGCTAATATGAATGTTGAAGTTGTAACGAGTTTTTGGCAACAAAAAAAAATCATGTTACAAGTTATGTTTTTCATTATTATCCATTTCTTATTCGAAGTCTACCTATTAATCTAGATTAGTGTTAGAACCCGCGCGATGCGCGGATAATTTAATAAAATATTAATCTTATAATATTATGATCTAATATATCATATTATTTTAAGAATTATTAGTTGTTATTTTATTATTTATTGTAGTATACAGAAATATGACAAATCTATACAAAATCAAATGATACACATGATATAGTAATCAAATATTATCAATAATATTTTTGAGTATTATTTATTTACGTAATTTTATCAAATAAATTTAAAGCGTGGATAGAATCATATTATATCTATTATGCTTTCAAACTTAAATGAACTGCATTCAATTCAAATATTAATCATAGAAAACTATTTCTTAATTGTTTGAACACATTATATCTAAATGTAGTAGTAATATTTACGTATAAAATATTCATTTGCCTGATTTATCAATATTATATGACTTTATTATTTTTATTATTAAAATATTTTTTGCTGATTATTTAATTTTTCTTTTACATTATAAATAATCCGAATATTTTATTTAAGATCTTTTTTGTTGCTTGAATTATTTTATTTTTTAAAGTCAAATAATCTTTAATATCTTAAGTAAATTTTAGTTTTATTTTATAATTTAACTTACTCCAAATTATAAATAGTCATAGGTTATCTAAATTTATGTCTTTCTATATTTTTTATTTTTTGCTATTATAATTTTTTAATCAAATTTTTACCTTCATATTTCTAGCTAATATAGAAGAAAATCTATGAGTGGAATAATATATAGATATAAATATAGATATAGATACAAACATACATATAAATATAAATATTGATATATAGATTGTATTTATCTAAGATCTATTTAGATTATGTATAAGATTCATTCAACTATTTTCATTAATTATGTTTCCATTTATAATTTCTTATTATTAATGTTGTCCTAAAATTGCTAAGTGACTTCATTATACCTTGTCACTTAACTTAACGACAATATATACTACCCAACTTTTAATATAATATAGATTTGCGCTGGGCAGGCTTATTAGTAAAGGGAGATAAAGCTTTTCCTACCAAATAATTCTTCATGCTTGGAGCTAAAATGCTACACCTCAGTTTAGGGATGAAAAGATCCTAAATTCCTAACCAGCTTATTGGCCTCTAACCAATTGAGTGTTTTATCTCGATCAATTGACATCATACACTCTATTGAAATAAATTTCACGAAAAATAAGCTATATCCATTCCTCATTGGCCTTTCACCTCAACATATTACAAAATTCAAATAGGTTTAACGCTAATTTTATAACCTCCATTTCGTACTCTTATCCTTTCCGGTTTGATTCGTTTGGGTAGGACCCATTCTCTCATTGTTCACATTCCCGTTCAAGAAAAAGAGACCTTTGAAATTTGAATAATGATGACAGATGTGCCAAGTTTGGTTGTTGTCAGCCTTACTAGATTCTGACTCAGCACCTTCTTCATTTTCTTAAACAAAATATGTTAAAGAATTTATTTTTTATAATATTCTAATTTGGAAAGTTTCAAGAAATTCTTTGTAATCTCTCTTTCATAGTTGGCACAGAGATGAAATTGTTCTGGGACCCACCATATTACGTGGCAGTGACTCAATGGTTAATGCCTTAAATAAAGAGTTGTCCACGTTAGTTCCCGCGTAAATTTCATGTAACGCCTTTTGCTGAAACAAATTTCTTAAAACCTCCCTTATTTCTTCCGCATTCCAAATCAACCCCCCCGCAATTTTCCAAAAATTCGAAAATGACCTACTCCGACCGGAAGCACCGTCGGAGCCCTAAAACCACCCCTCTTCTGCCGCAAAAGGACGCCAATTTCGGCCATTCCGAAGCCGGATTCGACGGGGCTTCCTTCTCCGGCGCTGTCTTCAATCTCTCCAGTACAATTGTCGGCGCTGGAATTATGGCACTTCCGGCTACTCTTAAACAACTCGGTGCAATTCCAGGTCTTATCGTTATAATCCTCGCCGCTATGCTGACGGAGAAGTCAATTGAAATGTTGCTTAGATTCACCAGAGCTTCCAAATCTGCCTCCTCCTACTCCGGCCTCGCCGGCGATGCGTTCGGAGGATTTGGCCGTACTTTATTGCAAGCTTGTATCGTGATTAATAATCTCGGAATGCTTGTTGTCTACATGATCATCATCGGTACCTAACTCCAGCTCATTTTTTTTCCTTTTAATTTTCGAAATTTATTGATTTTCTAAAAGTGCTGGTTGTTTCTTAAATTACAGTTTCAATTTTTTTAAAAGTCCACAATTTTGGTATTTTAATTACGGAAAATAGTTTTTTTTATGTCCTGGTCAGCTTGAGGGCACCTAGACTGTCCTAGCTGAGTTCACCACTAGGCTACATCCTTCCGTTACAAAAAATAGTTATTGTTAGACACTCTTTTTGTAGTTTTCAAATACTTTAAGTTTTTTTTTTCAATTTCTGGAAATTGATGTCCAAATTGAGATTAAATTTGATTCTTTGATGATTGTACTAAAAGCACTTCATTCTTTGGGATGGAGTACATTTTTTTTCTCAAGTGAAGAAAATGGGGGAAGAGGTATAGTGGAAGGCCTGCAGCGTTAGCTCCATCTTGGTTGTTGCTTTATCTAGTAGCTCAAGAGTTATCTGTGTAGGCTAATGAAAATGGTGTGTTTGATTGCAGGTGATGTATTATCTGGGACTTCATCAGATGGGGTACACTATTCGGGTGTAATGGAAGAATGGTTTGGTCAACATTGGTGGACTGTGCGCTCCAACATATTGCTTCTTACTACACTCCTTGTGTTTGTTCCTCTTGTTTCATTCAAACGTGTTGGTGAGCATCGTAATTCACTCGTTCATAAATATATATCACCTCATAGTGGAATGTGTAAACTATTATCCTCCACATATAAATAAATATGATCCCTCTTATGTGATTGTAAACCAAATTGCTGTTAAGACAGGACGTAGTAGTAGGGCATTTAGTGTCCTATTTTGAAAGTTCGAGTGTCAAATTGCTAGAGAAAATAGTTTTAACTTCTAAGGGAGAAAGTGCTCAGCTGGCCAAAGTATAAAGAGCTGATTACACTTTACCCTAGAAATACTACCTAGAATGCAATAATTTTATGTAAGAACAATCTCTTCCACAGTATCCAGGGTCATCAGAAAAAGGCTTTCGTTGTTCAGTTGTGCGAATTATTCTACACATTGCACTGTAAATGCACTATCTGCACTCCTCCATTAATATTCATGACTTCTTTTATTGTTTTGGGCAGATTCATTGAGATATACATCAGCCATGTCAGTCGCTCTAGCTGTTGTATTTGTGGTAATCACAGCTGGAATAGTCATTGTTAAGTTCATTAATGGAAGCATTGCAATGCCCCGCTTGCTGCCCAAACTTGTTGATCAGGCATCTTTCTGGAAGCTTTTCACAACTGTCCCTGTACTTGTCACTGCCTATATTTGCCATCACAATAGTAAGTTCTAGTTTCACCTGCATAGACTTCTTTGTGAATGAGCACATTGTTAATTTTTAGTTATACGTGGGTTTATACAGTGAAACCATATAATAAGAAACAAACACTGAAACCATTCTAAAGAGATTTCCTCGAAGGCTTTCCTTTGGGTAATAGTTCCTTTGTTGCATCCAGGAGAAGCCAAGATATCTGTGAAAAATGTCTAGGATTTTTGTCATTTCAGTTATATGTTAGCATCTTTAGTACATTTTGAAGAGCAGTTCTTTAAGAGCTTGAGTCGCGGATTTATATTAACATTGAGGAGATCTAGGTGTTCCTTTATATATCTTTCCTTATCAACAAAATTATCCCCAAAGGAGCTTAGTGATGTGAAATGAGATCTCTATGTAGTCAGTTTTACTTTGTTGCTCCCAACCACAGACAGACACAGCGTCACTAAAAGGCGAGTGGTCATCTGTCATTGTTTATAATGTGACGTCATCTCTGAGGTGATTAATTTCTTT